TATATATATATATATATATATATATATATATATGTATCAGTGTCAATACTCATTTTAACTATACACTTGTTCTGTACTTTAATGAGTAGTCAGGTGTCAAATATTTGTCATCTTATGTGCAATCAGTTTTGAAATAGCCCCTCGTTTTAAATATACAAATGTTCTTTAAACATGAACAGCTCTCTCATTTTACAATCCCAGTGGGTTTGCTGTTAAAGTTGTCACTTGAAGGAAACAAACTCATTTCTCACAGGCAACTCAAGGACGTACAATCACTTCCCCTCAGTTCATTGTGGCAGTCTTAGAACAGGGCAACAGCACACAGCAGAGGAGACTGCGGGAGGGTTTATGCTAGTCATGATGTTTGTGTGTGTAGGCGTAAAACAACACAACTACAATACACAAGAGTAGAAGTTGTGGCACTCACCTTATCTTTATCTTGTTCTCTCTTCTGTAATTCAGAGTCATTGGGAAAAAAATCTTGCTCAGACGTTTCTTTTTAATACTTAATTTAAGTAACGTTGATCTAAAATGCACAAAATGAGACAATTGATGACAGTGTAAAAGTATGAGATATAAAATGAGTATGGGTGGCATAGCTCAAACCATTTGGTCTTGGATGAGACATTTGATAAGAAGTGTTTGAGTTCATACTGTGGCACTTGATTTTTAATTTCAGACATTTGTGTCTTGGTAATTCTGAGCACAGTGTGAGACATCAAGATTTTTTCTTCTCAAAACCTCCATTTAACCTCATTGCTGTTTGGAAGCAACCATTTTTTGTCCAATATGATTGTGTGTCAGGATTGTGGGCTCATGAACATGCCAGTCAGAACTGAGTTTGTTTGTATGCATGTTGTGAGTATATTGAGTTTGTATGAGCATGGATTGGGCAAATATTGAACCATGCTGTCTGACCTCAATTACAAAAGCTGCTTATTCAAGTACAAATACACATTTGTTGATTTATGAATTTTGAATGTGCTATGCTGGTGTTCGACGTTGTTTCATTATTTAACACAATTATTTTTTGGATTTGGTTCGTTTCCCAGGAAATATTGGCTCTGAGCTGTCTTACAATAATGTGGCGATGTTCATTTCATCAGATGCAGGCAATAACTGGAGACAGGTATGGCTGGTTCACATTGGTTCATACTTCCCATTTAGCCACTTGATAGCAAAAACATGTTTTCAAGTAAACTCACAGAGGGTTTTTAATTGTGATACACTCCTGCCGAGTAACCATCAAAATACCGGAAGTGGCACATCCAATGGATGAGAATCCATGAAATGCATTATTAGACCATTTTCCAAGGCTGCATGATATATTAGACCCATTTAAAAATCGTAATAAAGCATAATGCTATTGTGAATTCACAAATGTTACGATTCAATTAAATAAATATATGCGATGCAGGTTTAATGTACAAGCTTTAATTATGCGTGTAGGTTACGTACGTGCGTTTCAGAGTGGCTCCATTCACAGTAAATGCTGCTCCACACAAACTGTTATCATTTACATGTGTGGACCGTCTCAATCTCCATCTCTGCATATCGTTGTGAGTTTGCGTTTATTATACCATTCATCTGGGAACGCAACGTGCGCCATGTCATCAGATTTGTAAGGTAAATCATTTATAAACCTACGCAAACACAGAATAACACATCAATATCTTTCTCAATATGCTAACTGTTCATCGTGATTTCAAAATAAAAGTTTAAACCCTCGCTTTGAGTTTACATGTTTTGATGTCCACATATTCAAGAAATTACAGTGGCTGTAGCATTTCTGTTGTAAAGAAAGAGCCAAATATTCAAGATTAAATGGACATTTGAATGAAAAGTTCTTTAGTCAATATTAAGAATTAGATTGAGCAGTACAGTGTAAAAACAATTGTCAGGCTGTTGGCGCCCTCTGCAGGCTTTATAATGCGTAATGTACATTAGCTCTATTGTTTATAATAAATTATGTATTTTATGTCATTCTAAAGACTATTGTTCGCTTAGGTCTATTTTTATTACCACAAAAAAAAAAAACTATAATTATCCGATTACTCAATTAATGGTCAGAATAATCGACCGATTACTCGATTACCAAAATAATCGTTACTGACAACCCTAATCTTGAGCTTGTATTAAGCACAAACCTTATGTTTCAGGTATTATACCAAAAAGCCATGTAATTCAGAACAATGCAACCGGAAGTGCCTAAATGCTAACTTTGGCTGGGTTTTGTCCTTCACAAATACGTCATCTCTGTAGAACTCTCTTGCAAAACCGAAAAGGTTAAACCAGAGTACAAAAGCTAGAAAAAACTACTGTATGACTGTGAGAAAAGTACACAAATGTCTACGCAAAAGTGTCTTTTTGAGCCTATTTGTGCAATAAAATGAAAATGTTGTTTTTCCCATGATGCAGATTTTTGAGGAAGAGCACAACGTGTGGTTTTTGGACAAAGGTGGAGCTTTGGTTGCCGTGAAGCAGCCCACTGTGCCTACTAGACATCTTTGGTAGGTGAAAATAATCTTGCTTCTGCCAGGTTTATTCATGCTGGTTTGGTGAAATTCCCGCTTCAGTTACTTCGGTCGGCACTCCATCTGTCTGACAGGGTCGGTTCTGTGCTATTAAGATCATTGAGGGAAAAAAATCAATCGTTGGGTTTGTGTAGATTGAACATGTTCCCCACACAAACAAAAATGAAACGGCAGGACACAAAGGCTGCCAAATAACAGATTGGAATCAGTTTTTACGTGGCGCACCATGGGAAGTGTTCCATGTTAAAGCTTCCCACTTATCCCCCCGAGTTCCCACATTGGTTCCTTCTTTAAATTGGCCCTCCCTGGTTTTGCTTCAGTGATGTTTAATCCTCCAAAGTCTCAAATCTTTTCTCTCTTATCACTCGAAGCATTTGGCTTTAGTTTTAGGCCCACTGAATTGTGGCACCTTCATTTTTTTAGTTCTCTTAAACAACTCAAGCGAAAAGTAAGTGGAGTCACAACTGTGGAGGGCAGTCGTGTCATTTCCTCCAAGTATGACTTCAAATAACAGCCTTGACTGTATGTTCTCTTAATGGATACATGTCAACACTAACTCTGACTGTTGCTTTTAGCAGACCGGAGACAACTTGGAAGCAGTGCCATTGTGCATTGTTGCAACCTTGTCACACATGCTAGCCTACTGTTTGCACCTGTGAAATGATGTTGATAAGCTGTCAGAAAGTATCATGATCAGACTTGAAGGAAGAAAGTTTTCTCCAGCTTTTACTTGCTTCTGTTCCCTCCCACATTTGTGGACGTTTCTGTATGTTTTCATGTTGCGTCTGGTTTTCTTCGACCTCTGCTTTATTTATTTTTTATCTTTATTGTACTTTTACTGGGTTTTATGTATCTCTACGTTTTGTTTATATCTTATTCCCTCTAAGACAGATTATTCAAAGTATAGTTCAGCCATAAATGGAAATTCTGTCATCATTCACTTACACTTCCAAACCTGCATGCAGTGCTGGGTAGTAACTGATTACATGTAATCTGGCAATACGATACAAGATTATCCTATTTAAATCAATGTGATAAACGAGTTAGGTTGAAAGTAATCTAAAAGTAATAAAAAAGTAGTCCGATTATATTACCTAAAATGTGTAATGTAATGGATTACGTTACTAACTGCATTTTGTTATGTAATCTGGAATCAGTAACAGACTACAATTTACAGTAATCTGCACAGCACTGCATGCACGACATTCTTTTGTTTGTTTGTAGTTTTGTCATCCATTGACATTTGAACACCTCGATGTCTTCTACAGGATCAGCTTTGATGAAGGTCGTCAGTGGACACGTCACAGTTTCTCAGCCTTGCCACTGTTCGTGGACGGTGTTCTGGTGGAGGCAGGTGCAGAAAATCAGATCATGACGTAAGTCTATAGAGGTTTGTTTTTGACCACCGTCTTTCTCTCACACACGCACACAGCCTGTGCGTCCTCATTATGTCTTATTTATTACAGAAGAATAGATTCCTCTGAGCTCTAAAAACCTGTTCGTTCAAGAGATACACTCGTGAGGAAAGGTTAATTAATCAGACTCTTGAGCTAATGTTGTTAGTCTCAGTGAACCAATAACACTTCTCATTATGTCTCAGTGCTGGTATATAGTTTAATAGGGTTGTATCATACTTTTTAATTATTACTTTGAACACAAATGAAAAAAAAAAAACAACTGTAGAAATAGGTCTGAAATTAACAGGAAATTATTGTTAAAAATAAACTATAACAGAGGGATCTGCAGAGCGGTAGGTGCTACACAGATAGAAACAGCACCAGATTTGGTAAACTCTCACACATTTTTATTTTACATTGTATTTTTTTCTTCTTCTGGTGTTTATGAATCTCTATCTGGTTTCATAGTCTTTTTTATAAATCTTTGTTCTGTTTGTTTGCCGTGTTCACAATGATTAAAACAAGGGAATTAAATAACTGCCAATAAGAATCGCATAAGAAGTATTTAATTATTATTTATTTAAAATGATTTGTGTGTGTGTTATCCAGTTTAGTCAAGAAAGTATATTATATAAGACTTCATTTAGAAAAGAATGAACTACATAGGGCATCGTTCACTCTGAATTCAGATAATGCTACTAACCCCATATTGTACAATTTATAGGATACAGGGAGCAATTTCAGGCATAGCTAATGAAGTAACCCAGGAATGCTCAATCCAGCCTCAGGAGATGTACGTTTTTGCAAAGTTTAATTCCAACGCTTACACGTCTGGACCAACTAATCTTCACTTGAAAATGAGTGAGCTGTATGAGAATGAAACATGTCTTTGTCAATTGGCAGGTTTTTTGGACACTTCAGTCATCGTTCTGAATGGCAGCTTATCAAAATTGACTACAAGTCCATATTCACCAGAAGGTGCACAGAGGGAGACTACCAAACCTGGCACCTGCATAACCAGGTAAAACGAAAAACAAGCAAAAACACAATTTCTAAATTGCAATATCGTTGCAGCTGACTTAGATATGATTTCCTTAGGGTGAGCCATGCATAATGGGTCAAAAGCAGATCTACATGAAGCGTCGTCCAGGAAACTACTGCATGGTTGGATGGGACAACTCCAGGATCCTGTCTGCAGAACCCTGCATTTGCAGAGCACACGACTTTGAATGGTGAGTGAACAGCACACAGCAAATGAACACAGCTAAAGATCCACCCACTGATCCGACAGCTTCATCAGTGATTTCCTGCAGGTATATTTCTTCTCGTGATTCTAGAAGAATTGTGTTGAACGGTTTAATTTACTTTAGACTGACTGTGTTATTAATTTGATCTGACTCCAATTAAAGAAGCTCTCAAATGTAGACTGATTCTAATTATATGCTGATCATCATTTTAAATGTGATCTTAATTTTTTGATTATGATTATGGGCATATCATGGTTCATTCACTTTGCTAGTCACGGTCTCACAAACTGGCTAGTCTGAACATAATCAGAGTTTACAACTGATATGATTAAGTTTGGCCGCCACATGCTTGCTCAAAACAAAATAGTATAGCCATGTGCAAGAAATTACTACATTTATTCAGTTAGGATGTATTAAATTGATTAAAAGTGGCATTAAAATATGTACCGTATAATGGTGTAAAATATTTATATTTCAAATAAATGCTGTTCTTTTGAATTTCTATTCATTAAAAATTCTGCATTACAGTTTCCACAAAAATATGAATCAGCAACTGTTTCTAAAATTGATAATAAAATGTGCCTTAAGCAGCAAATCCAGATATTAGAATGATTTCTGAAGGATCATGTGACACTGAAGACTGGAGGGATGATGCCACTCATCAAAGAAATACATTAAAAGTTATAATGTTTTAAAATAGAAAACAGTTATTTAAAATTGTAATAATATTTCACAATTACTGTATTTTTATTGATTTATTTTTTGAATAAATGAACGCAACTTTGGTGAACATAAGAGACTTATGCTCATAAACTTTTATCGGCCTCAAACTTTTGATGCGATACATTTTTTAAATCAGTGTAAACCAGTTCACAAATGCTCAATACACAACATCAGGTATTTATTTCTTGAGTCAATATATCAAACCGTTCAAACGGAGCAAGGCCTGAAACTCCTGCAAACATAAAGTGCGGTCTAGATTTTCTTGAGCTTTGTAGTTTGTGTCCTACTCTGCTCTTTAGGTGGGATCACAGGTACTTATAAAACCGCATAGCCTTCATGTTCTGGTCACTGGCGATCCGGGAGCTGTTTTCACAGATCTCAGAATAGACATAGTGCTTCTACACCAGTGGACTGGTTAACCCCCTCTGTAGGGTCAGTGTAGGTGGGAAAGGTGCCTTATTGAGGATCAAGATGCATGATTCAGACTGTCTCTGGGCTTTTAAAGGCCACAGGGCTGAGAGGAGAAAAGAAGATCGAGGTTCTTTATCATGGTAGTCTGTTGTTGTCTGTCTGGAGGTTCTTTTAAAGTATATATAAATACCTCGGAATCTACATCATTTATTACATTCACAGACCAAGTATTTTATCTTCCAACAACGCACAGTGTATCCTTACTTTGTCTTTAATATGTTCTCCTGTTCCGTTTGATCTTGTTTTGCAGCAAATAGTACAGTTACAAATCTCAGTGAAGGGATCTTAACATGCTTTCAGATATGTGTTCATTTGTGTTCTGTATATGCAAGTAGTCCCCAGGATGCCTTTTGAGATTTATTGTGCGTCTTTAATTTGCCCAGTACTTTGATTATAATACTAGAATTTTTCATTAAGCAATGCTTTGTTCAAAATATGAAAGGAATGGACCCCCTAAAAAGATGAACGCCTTGCTAGGACCCTCCTTCTAAAATATGAAGAAAGCGGAATTTTTTCATAGATTAAACATTTTTAATGTGTGAGAAATTTTGTTTGTTTCTTTCTTTCTTTCTTTCTTTCTTCATTTTTGGTGATAGTAGTGCTATTTTTCAGTTTTTACGGAATGCTGGTTGCCTTGGACTTAGAAAAGTTAACTTAAATCATTTTACTTTACTCATATAAATAAATAAATTAGTTTCTTAATAAAATTATCCCCCCCAAATTTTTGCAAATACCACTTACTGTATGGAAATTAGGGAAAAAAAGTCACTGACGAGACATCACATATAATGTAGTTAGTTCAGTAATCCTGAAAAAAAGGCTGAAAGTTGATGGGAGGACATCTTTACTTGACTGTACATTCATTGATTATCTTGATTATATGATGATCCTTTGAATTTTGCACGTAACATATTGCTGCCAGACACTTTATATGTCTACACTATTACCTCTGCCATCACAGCAATCTTCTCTTGATAACTAAATCTGTAATTCAACTTCCGTCCTATAGTTACATTCCAATTAGTTTATATAAAAGCACGTAGTTTAGCAGAAAACATTTATTTCCTTTTTATCAGGGGAAATTATTATAATATGTCAACTTAAAAAGAAAAGGAACATGATGTTATTTTAGCTGTTTTGTTTTTGATGGGCAGTTGAGAAAGGAAAGAAAATTAGCAATTAGGACATGTTGCATACTAGACTCAAACCTACATGTTTCAAATGAGCGCTAAACGTTTAGGCACAAGTTCAGAATTGCAACTCTTCATGGCTTTTTAACTTCAATCCATTAATTAAAGTTTGAATAAACTTAGTTCTGCCAGAACAGAAGTCTTTTTTTTTTCTGTCTCGGTGTAAACAAATTAAATAACCATAATTCACAGTTATTGCATTGCATTTTTTTTTTGGTGATTTGTAGGTGTAATAGTCTGGATGATACAGACATGACAAACTAAACAGATTTAATTTGCATGCTAATTCATTTAAAAATTTTACCCAGTTCTCTGTTTATCTTAAATTAACCAGATACAGCCAAGCTGTGGTACGTTTTTCTTCCATTGAGCCTCAATTCTGAATGAGAAAAACTTTAGCAGTTTAATTAAGTCCATTAGCTTCTGTGATATTTTGTTTTCATATATTCATTGTCCAGATCAGTTCGGCCCACCGGTACATATTTTTTCCTGCAATTTTATGATAGGAACATGCTTGAAAAACAAAACAACTTTTGCTAACTTCGCTGTGATTCACAGAACTTTTAATTGCAAAAAACAACTTGTGACATGATATGCAGAGTAATTATTCTGTGGAATATAATATGTTGTCTCTTTCCATTAGCTCTGATACAGAGAGCTCATCTAATAATTTTTATTGGTTTAGGTTGTGGTGTAATAATTAGATACTGACAGAAGAACAAAATAACATTTGTAATGCATTTGTTGCGAGAACAACTGTAATTAGGAATTCTTAATTTCTTCACCTTTTAGAATAATAATTGCAGTATAGCCTATATATATATATATATATATATATATATATTGTGACGAGTCGGCTGCCTCCCCCTAATTATCAGCATCACCCCGTCCCTTAATC